TCCCTCATCATCTCCATCCCTCTCATCATCTCCATCCCTCTCATCATCTCCACCCCATGTCATGTAAATTGAAATTTAATTATTAAATTTTAATTCTTTGAATGGAATATCATTTTAATTTGATTCAATTTAGGTTTTATTATTTTTGTATGTTCTTTTTGGTTACTAAATAGTAATCAATTATGCTGCTTTATGCTAATTTTTTTTTTTTTTTTTTTTTTTTTGAGGGGGGGAGTGGAAATTCGTTTTAACCCCCACTCGACCCCCCCCCCCCCCACACACACACTTTTTCGTTGGGAGGAGGGCGAGTCCCTGCCCCACTTCTGGCACCTATGATCGCAAGAATGGCTGGATTTCTGAAAAAAGGGGCACCTACAAAGGGACACATCAACAATAATAAAAACCATTTTTAGATATTTGTATAAAAGGCCTATGCCTTGGTCAAGATTGTGAATACATTACCACGAATGACATCAATATTTGTTTATTTCTTTACGTGGAACAACATTATTGTTTAAGCAACATACTTCGCGATTTGTGTGTGATGGACTGAATATCGATTTTCGAGCAAGCGAGCTAATAGTATAAGGTCCCATTTGAAAAATTACATGATGAATATTAAAGACAATTTAATGAAGAAAGACTGAAAAGTTCTTTTATGTAATTATGAGTAACATTATAATTAAAACATCTGAGAAAGAAAAGTAGGCACTTATCAGAAGGGAAAAGGACATGTACAAAATGATAAGGGGGCACTTTAGGGGAACCTGAAAAAGTGGAGGCACAGTGCCCCCCAACCAAGAATGCCGCCCTCTGACTGTGGGCAAAAGTGCGAAACTAACCCAGAAAATCTAGAAATAAACCAAATTTCAATTTTATTTCGCGCGGTCAACTGCCCCCTTCCCCATCAGTACGCCAGTGCTTCCAGTAGGCCTATCCTTCCATGAATTCCTACCATTAAAAATTATCAGAAGGGAAAAGGACATGTACAAAGGATAAGGGGGCACTTTAGGGGAACCTGGAAAAGTGGGGGCACAGTGTCCCCCCCCAACCAAGAATGCCGCCTCTGACAAAACTAACCCAGAAAATCTAGAAATAAACCACATTCCAATTTTATTTCGCGGGTCGGGTCAACTGCCCACCCCCCTCCCCCCCCCCCCCCCCCCCCCCCCCACTATCAGTACGCCAGTGCTTCCAGTATCCTACCATTAAACAAATTCTGGGACAGAAAAATGCAGCTGTTATAGACCTCTAGATCAAAAGTATATTATTGTTACAAGGGAAATCAACTTTATTCTTTGTAATGACTGTGTTTATAAAAGCACGAAAATCATGAAAAATTACAATTTCATTTCATTTTAGATCTAGAAATCATGATGGGAAAAAGTGTGGCGAGTTGTCCGAAAAGGCTGTGGCGAGTTGTCCAGGGTATTGTGGCGAGTACTAGTTGTCCAGGGTATTGTGGCGGGATGTCCAGGGTATTGTGGCGGGTTGTCTTGGGGCGGGTTGTCTTTGTGGCGAGTTGTCTGGACCCCGTAGTGACTAGTGCATGCGCTGCACGATCTAGATGCTACATTTCTTTCGTTTGGGAAGGACGTTTAGGAGATCGGAAAAGAAAGTCTCACTAACGTTAGCAGTGACAAGTCTATGTTGTTTCAAGGTTGCCAGGAAATTCGCAATAGAAGTAAGTTTAACAATGAAATATCATGTATATACAATATCATACTTAATTTAATTTAATTTAATTTTGATAAAATAATGACATAGGGGCGCTGGTCCTAGAAATATGAGGATTAGGGTCTAGTCCTCGTAAACAAGGGATACAAACAAGGGTACCGGTATATACAAACAAGGATATCTTCATAAACGCAGACAAAATGTGTCCTGAAAAATAAGGGTTAATTGTCTGCATTTTCGAGGACGCTTTTTTTCATCGGCGCTCTGGGGGTTTCATGTTACAGAACGGCTTGCTGGCGATGCCAAAAATGGATTCCCCTAGGATAACCCTAGTTAACCGTCTACTAATATGGGTTGTCCGTCTTCCCAAGGATTTATTGCTCATCTTCTTCTTCTTCTTCTTCTTCCTCCGCTCTATCGGAGATCAGCAGCTACCATAATGTACAAAGTCAATGTAAAATGCATCAAGAAAATCATTGCAGAATCCGTTTTTTGCATCGCCAATGCACCGATTAAAAGTTAAAAATATGAAACGTCTGCGAAAATGCAGACAGCCTTATTTTTGAGGACGCATCGGTCCGTGTTTATGAAGACGATCCTTGTTTATGAAGACGATCCTTATTCTCGGACCAGCGCCCCTACTGATAATGTATTTTGCCGACAAAATTCTGGTGAGGTTATTGAGAAAATAGGAAGTTAGGCCTAGCCCTAGGCCTAGGATTCTTCTTCTTCTGTTGAAGTACAGGCCACCATGTTGTTGGTGTATGAATTAATCAACACGTCTGGAGATTGACCTTAAGCACTGCACTAGGCCTAGATCTACGTGTTATAATAGGCAGCATTTGAATACATGGTAGTCAATAGGTCTAGAATCTACACTCATAACACACAGATGCACAAAATCATACCGATGCGGCTGATCGGCAAGTTTGACAGTGGACTCACAAAATTATTCTTTCTAACATCAGAAAATTGAAAAAAAATTGTATTTTAGGCCTAGATCTAGGCCTACTGCTATTTAATTTATGCACTTGTCATTTGTAAGACGCACCTCTTGACCCCCGGGAATGGTGCGTCATTGTACCGATGTGAGTCGTACATTTTGATACCATGACGCACCTTCCGTCACAGAAAGTGACACACCATTACATTCCATCGACACACATTTGAGTCAAACATATGACACACCATTTCATGAAAATGACTAGCCAATGACGCACATTTGAGAAACACTTCTGCTTGGAGAAAGTGACGGTCCCATTGACACACCAAATGACGCAACGTGGTAAAGAAACTTACTATGACGCACATATGGGTCAGTATTGTGACGGACATTTTGCGGCCATGACGGTACTGTGCGTCGCGATTGTGGGGAACATGACGCAACCATGACGCACCATCCCCGGGGGTCAAAAGGTGCGTCTTACAAATGACACCTGCATTAGGACGCTAGTGTAGACTGTAGTAGATCTAGGCTTTCATCGAAAGGGTGCGGTGCGGTGCGGCGCGGTGTGTGTGTGCTCAACGCACCAATTCGATAAAAGAGGGGGGGCTTTTCTCGAAAGGGTGCGTTGAGAGCGGAGTACCGTTTTAAGACACCCTTTCGATGAAAGCGGGGGGGCTTTTCTCGAAAGGGTGCGTCGACTAGTCTTTCGCATCAGTCGTTTAAAATGAGGATCTCGGACAGAAGGTAATATAGTTGCCAATTTAAGTATATCGAAAATGTATTAAATAAAATGGAATGGTCTTGATTACAGAGTGGTCTCTTTCGTTATTACTATGTTGATGGGGGAGACAGAGAGAAGGAAAAAAGGGAAAGGGAAGATAAAAGGAAAGAAAGAAGAATAAAAAGAGAAGAGGGAAACGGGCGGGGGGGGGGGGGGGCGAAGGACTCTTGCCCCCCCCCCAAATAAATCAGAGAGAGAGAGAAGGGAAAAAGAAAGGGAAAGAGAAGATAAAAGGAAAAAAAGAAAAGGAAGAAGAAGAAAAGAGGGAAACGGGGGCAAAGGGCTCTTGCCTCCTCCCCCCCCCCCCGCCAACAAATAAATAGTAGAGAGAGAGAGAGAGAAGGGAAAGGGAAAGGGAAAGAAAATATAAGGAAGGAAATGAAAGAAGAAGAAGGAAAGAGGGAAACGGGGGAAGGGCGAAAGGGAGAGAGAGAGAGAGAGAGAGAAGGGAAAGGGAAATGGAAAGAGAAGATAAAAGGAAAAAAAGAAGAGAAGAAGAAGAAGAAAAGAGGGAAACGGGGGCAAAGGGCTCTTGCCTCCTCCCCCCCCGCCAACAAATAAATAGTAGAGAGAGAGAGAGAGAAAGAGAGAAGGGAAAGGGAAAGGGAAAGAAAATATAAAAGGAAAGAAAGAAGAAGAAGAAGGAAAGATGGATACGGAGGAAGGGCGAAAGGTTCTTACCTCCCCCCCCCTCCCGCCAAAAAAATAAATAACAGAGAGAGAGAGAAAAGGGAGAGGGAAAGAAAATCTAAAAGGAAAGAAAGAAGAGGAAAAAGAATAAGAAAAGAGGGAAAGGGGGCGAAGGGCTCTTGCCTCCCCCCCCTGCCAACAAATAAATAAGAGAGAGAGAGAGAGAGAGAGAGAGAGAAGGGAAAGGGAAAGAAAATATAAAAGGAAAGAAAGAAGAAGAAGAAGAAGAAAAGATGGATACGGGGGAAGGGCGAAAGGTTCTTACCTCCCCACCCCCTCTCGCCAAAAAAATAAATAAGAGAGAGAGAGAGAAGGGAGAGGGAAAGAAAATCTAAAAGGAAAGAAAGAAGAGGAAAAAGAATAAGAAAAGAGGGAAAGGGGGCGAAGGGCTCTTGCCAACAAAATAAATAAGAGAGAGAAGGGGAAAGGGAAAGGGAAAGAGAAGATAAAAGGAAAGAAAGAAGAGGAAGAAGAAGAAGAAAAGAGGTAAATGGGGCGAAGGGCTCTTGCCTCCCCCGCCAAAAGTAAATAAGAGAGAGAGAGAGAAGGGAAAGGGAAAGGGAAAGAGGAAGAGAATATAAAAGGAAAAAAAGAAGAAAAGGGGAAGGGGAAAAAGAGAGTAAAAGGGAAAGAAAAGAAATAAAGAAAAAGAAAAGAAAAAAATAAAAAAGAAAAGAAAGGAAAGAAAAGAGAAGAAAGAAAAGAAAGAAAGAGAAAAACGAAAAAAGAGGGAGAATAGGAAAGAAAGGAGGCAAGAGCCCTTTGCCCCCATTTCCCTCTTTTCTTCTTCCTCTTCTTTTTTTCCTTTTATATTTTCTTTCCCTTTCCCTTTCCCTTCTCTCTCTCTCTCTCTCTCCCTTTCGCCCTTCCCCCGTTTCCCTCTTTCCTTCTTCTTCTTTCTTTCCTTTATATTTTCTTTCCCTTTCCCTTTCCCTTCTCTCTATCTCTCTCTCTCTCTCTACTATTTATTTGTTGGGGGGGGGGGGGGGGGGAGGAGGCAAGAGCCCTTTGCCCCCGTTTCCCTCTTTTCTTCTTCTTCCTCTTCTTTTTTTCCTTTTATCTTCTCTTTCCCTTTCTTTTTCCTTCTCTCTCTTTCTGATTTATTTTTTGGCGGGGGGGGGGGGGGGGGGGCAAGAGTCCTTCGCCCCCCCGTTTCCCTCTTCTCTTCTTCTTTCTTTCCTTTTATATTTTCTTTCCCTTTCCCTTTCCCTTCTCTCTATCTCTCTCTCTCTCTCTACTATTTATTTGTTGGCGGGGGGGGGGGGGGGGGAGGAGGCAAGAGCCCTTTGCCCCCGTTTCCCTCTTTTCTTCTTCTTCCTCTTCTTTTTTTCCTTTTATCTTCTCTTTCACTTTCTTTTCCCCTTCTCTCTCTCTCTGATTTATTTTTGGCGGGGGGGGGGGGGGGGGCAAGAGTCCTTCGCCCTCCCGTTTCCCTCTTCTCTTTTTATTCTTCTTTCTTTCCTTTTATCTTCCCTTTTTTTTCCTTCTCTCTGTCTCCCCCATCAACATAGTAATAACGAAAGAGACCACTCTGTAATCAAGACCATTCCATTTTATTTAATACATTTTCGATATACTTAAATTGGCAACTATATTACCTTCTGTCCGAGATCCTCATTTTAAACGACTGATGCGAAAGACTAGTCGACGCACCCTTCCGAGAAAAGCCCCCCCGCTTTCATCGAAAGGGTGTGTTAAAACGGTACTCCGCTCTCAACGCACCCTTTCGAGAAAAGCCCCCCCTCTTTTATCGAATGGGTGCGTTGAGCACACCACACCGCGCCGCACCACACCGCACCCTTTTGATGAAAGCCGTAGATCTAGGCCTAGTTCCGTATCCATTTTTTTAGCAGTTTAATATCCATTCTTAGCAAATGAATTTTAGCCCAATTTTTGTCTACTTATTTTAATCATAATCATAGGTCTAGGGTCTATAGACTATTGCATTTTCCAATTGAATTTGGATCACATCCGACATCGTGAAACCTTAGTTTAGGGATTCGATGTCGACGTCGTCGCTCAGTACCGTCTCTACTCTGTAGTCCTGCACCTCAAACTGAAGCTATCAGTACAAAATTATGCAGACTTCTTGTATGGTTTATGGTATCGCGCATACGAGGAGTCTGCATAATTTTGGACTGATAGCTTCAGTTTGAGGTGCAGGACTACAGCGTAGAGACAGTACTGAGCGACGACGTCGACATCGAAGCCCTAAACGAAGGTTCCCAATGTCGAATGTGATCCAAATTCAATTGGAAAATGCAATATATGATTATGATTAAAATTAGTTAAAAATTGGGCTAAAATTTCTTTGTTAAGAATGGATATTAAACTGCTAAAAAAAATGGATACGGAACTACACTAGCGCCCTATTTAGATCTAGATCTAGATTCTAGTTGTCATCACTCGTCACTAAAGTAGTCTACCGATTTTGAGTGAAATCAGTTGAGTTTTGTACAGAGGTGTTTGAAATGTTGGGGATCAATAGCACAGCTTTTACTACAAAGCCAAGATAGTAATGTTACTAGGGGTTTCAGAGTGATGACGTCATGAGTTCGCACTGGGCGATCGAGAGCGAAAGTGTAGTAATCTCTGCGTGTCTTTCGATTATTACGTAAACTCCGTAGCCACACACAGCTTCGCGTTGCGAAGGCCCCACAATATCGTACTTGTCGGAAAACATCGTTAAAACTTCGCCTCCTTTTGTCTCTCTCCCCTCCGTGCTGATATAACCTAAGTGTTTGTAGTGCAAGGAGAACTGACGAAACAATGCAATGAAGTTTTAAAAGCTACGATTTCATCATTTTCCCGTAATCTGCTTCCAACTTAGATTCGTGAGTATGAAAAGTCTGCTGATTCAGAAAATGTATTTGTTGTTGATGTTTTATCAAATTTGAAATGCGGAAAAAAACAATTATTAAGGCCCGATTCATGAAAATAAACGATCAAATTTGAGCTTCGTCGTGAGCGAGCTGTGCGGAGACCGCTTGAGCTTGCAACAGACCCATGGGCAGGTCCATTTTTTGGGTGGGGGTGTTAAATTCAACAATATGATAAATACATAAATATTTACTTTTTTAAGCGAAATTCCGTGAGTTTAAACTATCGTTTTTGCCGGCGTAAAGGCCGCAGTATTTTTGGAAGAGAAAATATCAAAAAGAGTAAAAATTTTAAAAAAAGTAAGTCAAAACCAGCACAAATTTGCACATATGGGACTACGAACGGTACAATAACTGTACCACTATGGTACAGGACATTTCACATCTTACCGACAATTTTATCTTGCATTGTTGACATGAAGACGAAAATAAACTTCCAAAAACAACATCTGCCGATAGCTCTTGATCTAAGTTTGTGCCAATGCATTGCAAAAGTAAAAGAAGGGCCCTTTTAACGGAGCTGCTGCGAAGCATCCAGCACGCAAAGTAGCTATATTGAATCCATTTCAATACACAAGAGAGTATAGATCACAGAAAACTACATAGGCTAGTATCAGTGCTGGATGGCCGAGCGGTCTTAGGCGGTGATTTTAGTCACATCAACTTTTGTACGCAAAAGATCAATTCCCGTCTTCGACAAAAGTTTCTTTAAATTTATTTATTTATTTTTTTTTTAATGTCAAAATCGGGGTGCGGCCTATACGGCGCTGCGGCCTTATCGCCGGCAAATACGGTAGTTCTAGTAGATAATTAAGGACTTTGATTATGTTTGGTAACATTTAAAGCACATTCCTATATTTTTATTTAAAGTTCGGTTCAGGAAAAAAATCCAAATAAATGCGATAGTTACCTGTGTGAAAAAATGGTATTTACCACAACAACGATGAAAAACAAATCGGATGAAATGTTGATCTTGTGACTTTGTGTTTATTTTGGAGACAATAGATGACATGTTATGTATGTTTTGGTCATATAAACATTACAAATTGCCCCTTTTAAAAGAATTATACAATTTTAAGGACGGAATTGAGGCCTCCGGATTTTATTCTTGCGCCACTTGTGTGAACTCACGCTAGTCCCATACGTTAAATGTTACGTTTGCTTGAGTTTAAAGTTGCATTTCTCCACGATTCTCTGTACTCAGGTTTTCTGATCATAAATAATGTGAAATCTATCTTCTTTGTGCAAGATTCTCGTTGATAACATATTTTATTTATTGTGTGGAACTTCTTTACTGTTCCATTTCTCATTTATTTACCTCCTCCACCTGTCTGAAAACCCGGCTGAAAACTACATTTAAACACTGTCAATAAATGTGCTTTATTAATGTTAGTCTAGATTTAGATCTATTTGTTATTCTAACCAAATGTTTCTGTTCAAATATTTCACTGATTGTTACTTCTTGAACTGGATAATCAGTTACATAACTTATTGTAGACCCTAATTTTAAAAATTGTTGTAAAAGTACTCAAAATTACAATCAATTTTCAAGTTCGACTGAACTACATTAACTTATTAAGTAGACTACCGTACCGGTACTAGACTCTAGACAGTAATTATTTTTTTTTTCTTCAAAAATAATTGTGCCTCCGCTAACAAAGGAGCCGGAGGCATTATTTATCAATTATTATTATGACAGTATTACATTACATGTTTTGTTTTGGAAATGAACGTAATGCGAACATTTCTTTGATTGATTTTTAATGTTTTATTTTATATTTGTTGTAGATGGCAAACACAGTGTCTGAGGAGCCAGCAAGTGCAATGGATGAGGCTAAAGACAAGGGGATTTTGTCAGGGACTAATCTTGAACATGATGAAGCTGAAGGTAAGTATCATCTTTCATTCTTTATAAATTAATTAGATTAATTTATTTTTGTTAATGAAATAATATTAAGTGGTGAAGATAATTTGGTAACCAAAATATATTATACTGTACATAGAGTCTATGTTTGAATTCATTTAGTTCATTGTTGGTTAACTCAATTTCATTGCCCTCAATCTGGATAATGATACAAAATAAGCTAAGGAAATAAGAATGGCGTTAATTTATTTATCTTTTCTAATTTTGTTTTGTTAATAGTAACAGCTCCTGTATCACCAGCAGCGGGATCATCAGCTCCTGGAGGCGGAGCAGGAGAATTGTCAATTCCAGCAGGATCATCAGCTACTAGCTGTACTAGCGACAGGATCTTAAGCTCCTCAAGCGACTTCAATCCCAGGAGGAAGCAATGGTAATTATTGTTGTCACTGTTTATTTTCAAATGGTAAATCATGCATGAATTAAATGAACATTTTAGTTTTTAATCATTGTTGCCTTGAATCTTTATTAGTAGTATTTATCATGACAAAATAAGCTAAGGAAATAAGAATGGCGTTAATTTATTTATCTTTTCTAATTTTGTTTTGTTAATAGTAACAGCTCCTGTATCACCAGCAGCGGGATCATCAGCTCCTGGAGGCGGAGCAGGAGAATTGTCAATTCCAGCAGGATCATCAGCTACTAGCTGTACTAGCGACAGGATCTTAAGCTCCTCAAGCGACTTCAATCCCAGGAGGAAGCAATGGTAATTATTGTTGTCACTGTTTATTTTCAAATGGTAAATCATGCATGAATTAAATGAACATTTTAGTTTTTAATCATTGTTGCCTTGAATCTTTATTAGTAGTATTTATCATGACAAAATAAGCTAAGGAAATAAGAATGGCGTTAATTTATTTATCTTTTCTAATTTTGTTTTGTTAATAGTAACAGCTCCTGTAGCACTAGCAGCGGGGTCATCAGCTCCTGGAGTAGCGGCCGGATCATCAGCTCCTCAAGCGACGGCAATCCCCGGAGGAAGCAACGATAATTATTGTTGTCACTGTTTTTTATTATGGTTAATCGTCCCAAAATTAAATGAACATCTTATTTGGAATCCGTGATTTAAGATGAATGGAATATACATATGTTTTCAAATTTTATGCTCATCCAATCCTCATCACTAAATAAGCATTGTATTTAATAGGCAGAAGAATCACAATGAATACACATATCACACAACAATTACTCAGTTACTAAATTAAAGCTATTGACTTGACAATAAATGACATAATATGATTCATAAATTAATAGTTTGCTTTCTCTTTTATGTTTTTCTCCTGCAGATATTGGGCCATACTGTACAGCCATGGATCTTCACCGGGACCTCTTCACGGGACAGGAGGATTTGCCCACTGTGGAGAAATTGCAAAAGAGAACAGAATGTCAAATATGGGAATTGCTAGAATATTGATCAAGTTAGGTGGTGTTTCTGCTAACGACCATTAAGTTTGTAATTATGTTAAAGAGGTTGTAGCAAAGCACAAACATATTTTAAAAAATGCTAAAGGTATTGTACAGGAACAGAAATTGTCCAGTCTACTAGATGGGGAATTCGTAGTCTTGAGAAGCAAGCAACTGAAGAAGCCAGACACTCCTAGGAAGAAGAAAATGAGAGCGCAAATCGCTGAAATCAAGACGGAGAACAAAGGAGTCAAACGGAAATTGGCAGGAATGGAAGGAACGATAGAAGACCAAAGGCATCGTCTGGAGTTTCTAGAGGAGGAGCTTGCCATGCGTAAAGCAAGACAGATAGAAATTGCTGATTTCGGCACCCTAAAGGATAGTTTTGTATCCCTGTGCAACAAGATGAAGAAAATCACGGCAGAGTTTGATCCAACTTGTCAGGAACTGAACGCCTACAAGAAAAAGTATGAAGAAAAAGAAAAAGAACTGCTTGAATTGGAGAAAAAACTTGTAGCATGTCAAGGAAAACTTCAGAAAGTAAACGCCAGGAATGTTAACAAGAGGATCAAAAGGAGAGATGAAAGCATAACAAAGCTGAAGGATGAAAATGCAGAATTATCTACTCTCATCCAAGAGTTGAGAGAAGATCTTGAACAGAGCAGAAAACCAACTCAGCTCATCAAAAGATAGAGTGCAATCCATGCAAGCGCATTCTAAACATATCAACCAATCTCAGAGAAAAGTCTATGACCAAGACAGGTATCTCCGGCGACGGCATACATCTGGTGCAGACGTGCAGGATCTGATGGACCTGAAGGAGAAAGTGTCGTTCCTAGAGAAGAGGAATAAGGAATTGGAGGAAGTGATAGGTTTAACCCTATTTAGCCCGGGGGGGGGGGGGGGGGGGGGGGGCTTCTAAAGCCCCCTCCTCGACATTTTTCGCGATAATTTTTTAACGCAAGAAAATTTGTGACTTTTTTCTTTCGAGTCTTGCGCATCTTTTGAAAGAATCGGACCTACCATTACAAAGTCACGTGTCCTTTTGTCTTTGCATGTCAGCTCGAAAATCGCTTATTTTTGTGATTTGTGTACAAAACATATGGAAATCTCATTTTTCAAATAAAGAGATAAAACATTGGTTATTTGGTCTTGTTTATAGTTTAGGTGTTTATTCTGGGGTCAAAATAGTTGAATTATAGTTGGAAATGAAATAAAAACAACAAAAACAATAAAATACATAAGTTAAAAAAACAAAGAAATACATAAGAAATTATCAAAACAATAGATAACAAGGAATAACCCTGGTTTTTCAATTTTTTGTGTTGTATTATTATTCCAAATGGTCTAACAAATATATGTAGTGAGAAAGAATGCTTAAATATGAATAATGTCTGATTTATGGGCAAAATGTGAATTTGATGACCTTATTTGCATAAATTACCATAAATATGCAAATGAGTGAATTTTTCAAAAAATTGAAATTACCATAGTATTCTATATACTTCACTTGACATATATGCAAATTTTTTGCGGCGATCGGTCGTTTCACGGCCGAGATCATGGGGGGGGGGGGGGCCTTAGAAGCCCGAGCTAAATAGGGTTAATAAACTTCGCTGAAGAAGTGGACAAAGCCCTGAAAGCGTTTGAAGATATTACAACATCAGGAAGGCATGCACACACATTGCAAACATCAGAATCTGGCGCCACAAGACTCATCAGGATATCGAGTAAGGCCTTTCATCACCGGGGATGTGACAAGTCGGGAGTTGAAGATGTCTTTTCAGCCTTTCTGTCAAACGCTTGTGGGACGAAGAATCATCTTGTTTATTACATTGGAAATTGTGCAAACATCTTTTTGAAGGTGCCTGCGCCCTTTATTTCCACGCTCCCCACATTCAGGAGTTTCTTTCAATGATTCGAAATTGTAACAACCTTCTCCTGGCAATCGAAGAGGACATCAGTGAGAAGCTCTTGGTGGCCGAGATACGAGCACTTGGCATATTTTACATCGCTGCCATCAAGCCCCTTTGGGAAAGGATTATCACCTCGGGCAACATTTTCGACACGAATGAGCCACTCCATCAACTCCAAACCAAGCTCATGGTATGGAAGGAAGATGCATTCCCTCTCCTGGCAGGTGACAGCCTCTTCAACATTAGCACAGGAGATGACATCTCAAAGAAGCTCCTAGACAGCACTGATGCTGAAGCGGAGATGCTGACCACCCAAGCCCTCGAGTTGATAAGCTGTGCTGTCCTGCTCATCCTTCAACGCCAGTACAAAGACCAGCTACCTGGAGGAAAGTATTGGGACCTGGCTGATGACGTCAAGGCAGCATACCACAATGTCCCAAGCACCAACATGATTGGAGAGAGGGATTTTGCACAACTCGATCTGCTTGTCTGCAAAAAACCCTCTGCCAGAATCACCACTCTTGAAGCACTCATCATGTGGACCAACAATAAGATGCCGGAGTGGCTAGACTCTCTGTCAGAGAAAGAAAGAGGGAAATATATGAAGGCGGCAAGGCAGTGCTCAGACGATGTTCTTAGGAGATATGCCGAACGGAAGAAGGCTATCAAACAGCAGAAATGGGAAGCTCTTCAAAAGGCATCACAAAAGAGGAAGGATCTTGAGGAAAAGAGAATGAAGTCGACAGCAGACTTGGTCAATGAAGTAGTTGAGCTTGGTGGAGTGTGGACTTCAGAGCAGAAGATAACAGAAATGGTTGGAGACATTGAGAGCACAAAATCAGACGAACAAATAAGAAGAATACTGTACACACAGCTGTTATTCTTACAGAAGGTCCTTAAATGTCAAGGTCCGTCAAAAAAACATTTCCAGCTATCTCGTCAAGGGCAGCCGTTTACAAGAGGAGAGATGATGCAACATTTGGTAGATGTTGTGAAGCACAACAACCTACAAACCCAACCACAACCTGACCCAGTATAGGCCGCTTCAATTCATCAAGAGTTACTTGTAGGCAAGAGGATCGAACACCTCTTCCTAATTGAACATGTGAAAGTCTGGATCCATGGTGTGGTGACTGGTATTAGTTCTTACAAGACTGATAACCTGAAGACCCTCTTCTTCATTGATTATGAGGATGAGGATGAACTCAAGGAGTACAACATTCTATCTGACTTGAAGAAGAACGAATTAATTGTGAAAGATTGATTTCTGCTCAAGTGATTAATAAAGTTTGAAAAGAGAATTCAAAACTGAGCAGTATTAGGTTGAACAAGAAGGAATTAATTGTAAATATTATTTTCCGATTAAATGATTAGTAACATTTGAAAGGAGTTAATCTGAGAATTCAAAGCTGAGCAGAACAAGAAGGAATTAATCGTTTAATATTATTTTCTGATCAAGTGATTAGTAACATTTGAGTCAATCTCACAAGTCAAAGCTGAGCAGTGTTAATTTGAACTAGAACAAATTAATTTTAATTTGGTGCAAATTGAAAATTGAAGTATACCTGAGAAGTTGTGATGAAACCAAAACAAATTATCATGCAAAGAAGATGTAACAAAACAAAAATAATTACAAAGAATATGCAATGGAACCATCCTTTAAAGAAAAGAATAGCAAATAAATAGGAACAAATTCAAACATTAAATAGATTAATTAGTCTTTATTGTATGTACTTATATGTTCGGAAACTTGTATGGTATGAAAGTTGGAAGTCGCTGTTTTTGTGTGTGTATTTGTCTGTATGTGGTGATGTTTGTAAGTGAGTGTGTGAGCATTCATGTTTGGCGGTGTGCATAAAGGTGTACGTGTTTGTTTTTCTTTGTTTGAAAACAAGAATTACATTTCTGTATAAATTTGAAAAACCTTGAATTAAAATATATTGTATCATACAAGATTTTTTCATTTTATTGAATAAATTTGCATAAATTTGCATATTTAATTCTTACTCTCTCATGTCAAGAAGTGTGAATTACAAATTCCTGTATCTTGCAAAGATATGCACAACATTTGTGAAAAATAGATTTCTGACTCATTTAATCCAATGGATAGACCCAGACCCATAGGGCTTTCATCGAAAGGGTGCGGTGCGGTGCGGCGCGGTGTGGTGTGCTCAACGCACCCATTCGATAAAAGGCCCCCCGCTTTTCTCGAAAGGGTGCGTTGAGAACGGAGGACCGTCTTAGCACACCCTTTCGAGAAAAGAGGGGGGTCTTTTCTCGAAAGGGTGCGTCGACTAGTCTTTCGCATCAGTCGTTTAAAATGAGGATCTGGGACAGAAGGTAATAGTTGCCAATTTAAGTATATCGAAAATGTATTAAATAAAATGGAATGGTCTTGATTACAGAGTGGTCTCTTTCGTTATTACTATGTTAATGGGGGAGACAGAGAGAAGGAAAAAAAGGGAAAGGGAAAGGGAAGATAAAAGGAAAGAAAGAAGATTAAGAAGAAAAGAGGGAATCGGGGGGGGGGGGGCAAAGGGCTCTTGCCTCCTCATCCCCCCGCCAACAAATAAATAAGAGAGAGAGAGAGAGAAGGGAAAGGGAAAGGGAAAGAAAATATAAAAGGAAAGAAAGAAGAGGAAGAAGGAAAGAGGGAAACGGGGGAAGGGCGAAAGGCTCTTACCCCCCCCCCCCGGCAAAAAAATAAATAAGAGAGAGAGAAGGGAAAGGGAAAGAAAGAAGAGGAATAAGAAGGAAAGAGGTAAACGGGGGAAGGGCGAAGGGCTCTTGCCTCCTTCCCCCCACCCCCGCCAAAAATATATAAGAGAGAGAGAGAGAAGGGAAAGGGAAAGAAAATATAAAAGGAAAGAAAGAAGAGGAATAAGAAGGAAAGAGGGAAACGTGGGAAGGGCGAAGGGCTCTTGCCTCCTCCCTCCCCACCCCCTGCCAAACAATAAATAAGAGATAGAGAGAGAAGGGAAAGGGAAAGGGAAAGAGAAGATAAAAAGGAAAGAAAAAAGAGGAAGAAGAAGAAGAAAAGAGGGAAACGGGGGAAGGGCGAAGGGCTCTTGCCTCCCTCCCCCCCCTCCCGCCAAAAAAATAAATAAGAGAGAGAAGGGAGAGGGAAAGAAAATCTAAAAGGAAAGAAAGAAGAGGAAAAAGAATAGGAAGAAAAAAGGGAAACGTGGGCGAAGGGCTCTTGCCCTCCCCCCCCGCCAAAAAATAAAAAAGAGAGAGAGAGAGAGAGAGAGATTTGAAAGCGAAAGGGAAAGATAATATAAAAGGAAAGAAAGAAGAGGAAGAAGAATAAGAAGAAAAGAGGGAAACGAAGGCGAAGGGCTCTTGCCTCCTCCCCCTCCCCGCCAAAAAATAAATAAGAGAGAGAGAGAGAGAGAGAGAGATTGGAAAGCGAAAGGGAAAGAGAAGATAAAAGGAAAGAAGAAAAGATGGAAACGGGGGCGAAGGGCTCTTGCCCTCCCCCCTCCCCCCTCCCCCCGCCAAAAATAAATAAGAGAGAGAGAGAGAGAGAGAGAAGGGAGAGGGAAAGAAAATCTAAAAGGAAAGAAAGAAGAGGAAAAAGAATAGGAAGAAAAAAGGGAAACGTGGGCGAAGGGCTCTTGCCTCCCCCCCCGCCAAAAAATAAATCAGAGAGAGAGAGAAGGGAAAGGGAAAGAAAATATAAAAGGAAAGAAAGAAGAGGAATAAGAAGGAAAGAGGGAAACGTGGGAAGGGCGAAGGGCTCTTGTCTCCTCCCTCCCCACCCCCCCTCCCGCCAAAAAAATAAATAAGAGAGAGAGAGAGAGAAGGGAGAGTGAAAGAAAATCTAAACGGAAAGAAAGAAGAGGAAAAAGAATAAGAAAAGAGGGAAAAGAGAGAGAGAAGGAAAGGGAAAGAGAAGATGAAAGGAAAGAAAGAAGAGAAGAAGAATTTGTGTCCTGCCAGTGTCACAAATAGATATAAAAATATGCTCATCTGACGATAATTTGATGTATAAAACCCCTCACCTTCTTGGGGCTCCGCCCCTTGGATCCAACACCAATTTGTGTCCTGCCAGTGTCACAAATAGGTATATAAAAATATGCTCATCTGACCGTTATTTATTGCCCAAAACCCCTGAGCTTCCGGGGGCTCCACCCCCTTGACCCCACGCCAATTCGTGACCCCTGTGTCACAAATAAGGTATAAAATAATAATAATTTAATGTACAAAACTCCTGAGCTTCTGGGGGCTCCGCCCCTAGACCCAACACCAAATTGTGTCCTGCCACTGTCACAAATAAGGTATAAAATTATGCTCATCCGACATTAATTTTGATGTTTAATACCCCTGAGCTTCTGAGGGAGCTTCTGAGGGCTCCGCCCTGTGAAAAAACGTGTGAAAAAACACGTTAATTTTACCGTTTTGGGGAGATAGACCCCCCCCCCTCCCTGGCGTTCAAGGGGGGGGGGGTACAATTTTTCAAATTTTCGAGGGCCCCCAAAAAAGATTAGTGCTCTCTAGTAATTTCGCGACTACTCCGGAACCGCGGCAGATATACATTTTTCTTTCATGACTTTTTTCTTTCGAGTTTTACGCATCTTTTGAAACATTTTTTTGTTGAAAATTGGACGTATAGTTGCGGAGTCACGTGACCTTTTGTTTTTGCATGTCAGCCCTAAAATCGCTCATTTTTGTGATTTATGTACCAAACATATGGAAATACCATTTATTCTTTTAAAAAAAGAGAACACATTGGTTATTTGGTCTTGTTTTCAAGTTAATGCGTTTGTTTTAGGGTCAAAATAGTTGAATTGTGGTAAGAAATGAAATAAAACAACAAAAACAATATAATACATAAATACAAATAATCAAAACCAGAGATAACATAGGGATAAACTGGCTCTTCCAACTTTGTTGTATTATTATTCTAACAAATATATGTAGTGAAAAAGAACGCTTGAATATGAATTATATATGATTTATGGGTAAAAATGTGAATTCTCTGACCTTGTTTGCATAAATTACCATAAATATGCAAATGAGTGAATGTTTCAACAAATTGAAATTACCATAGTTTTTTTATACACTTCACTTGACATGCATGCACATTTTCGCGGCGATCGGCTGTGAAACGGCCGAGATCTTAGGGGACCCCCCCCCACCCTCAAGTCTACTCCAATCACATTGAAAAGAAGTATGACTTGAATCATCTCTCTCATCATTATACCGCTATAGTATTCATGTTTTTAATATTATTTATTATCCTTCCATTAAACAAGTTCATAGAGAAAATACTTATCTCTCTGCAATATTAAAAAAGAATCTTCATTAATATGTCTTAATTTGTATTGATAGCCTTGTGGTCGCCAACAGTGGCGTAGGTAGGGGCGTCTCCAAAGGGGGTGTGGGGGTGCGACACCCCCCCCCCCCACCTGTCAGGATATTGTCGGTAAAATTGCGCTGCCGTCGGGAAAAAAGAGAGGGAAAGGAAAAAGAAAAAGAAAGAAAGAAAGAGAAAAACGAAAAAGAGGGAGACTAGGAAAGAAAGGAAAGAAAGGAAAAGAAAGAAAAAAAAAAGAGGCAAGAGCCCTTTGCCCCCGTTTCCCTCTTTTCTTCTTCTTCCTCTTCTTTCTTTCCTTTTATCTTCTCTTTCCCTTTCCTTCTCTCTCTCTCTCTCTCTCTTATTTATTTTTTGGCGGGGGGGGGGGGGAGGAGGCAACAGCACTTCGCCCCCGTTTCCCTCTTTTCTTATTCTTCTTCCTCTTCACTTTTATATTCTCTTTCCCTTTCCCTTTCCCTTCCCTTCTCTCTCTCTCTCTTATTTATATTTTTGTCGGGGGGAGGGCAAGAGCCCTTCGCCCCCGTTTCCCTCTTTCCTTCTACTTCCTCTTTTTTCTTTCCTTTTATCTTCTCTTTCCCTTTCCCTTCTCTCTCTTATTTATTTTTGGCGGGGGGGGGGGGGGGGAGGAGGCAAGAGCCCTTTGCCCCCGTTTCCCTCTTTCTTATTCTTTTTCCTCTTCTTTCTTTCCTTTTATATATTTCTTTCCCTCTCTCTTCCCTCTCCCTCTCTTATTCATTTTTTGGCGGGAGGGGGAGGCAAGGGCCCTTCGCCCCCGTTTCCCTCTTTTCTTCTTCTTCCTCTTTTTTCTTTCCTTTTTATCTTCTCTTTCCCTTTCTTTTTCCCTTCTCTCTCTATCTCTTATTTATTGTTTGGCAGGGGGTGGGGAGGGAGGAGGCAAGAGCCCTTCGCCCTTCCCACGTTTACCTCTTTCCTTCTTATTCCGCTTCTTTCTTTCCCTTTCCCTTCTCTCTCTCTTATTTATTTTTTTGCCGGGGGGGGGGGGGGGGTAAGAGCCTTTCGCCCTTCCCCCGTTTCCCTCTTTCCTTCTTCCTCTTCTTTCTTTCCTTTTATATTTTCTTTCCCTTTCCCTTTTCCTTCTCTCTCTCTCTCTCTCTTATTTATTTTTTTGGCGGGGGGGGGGGGGGGTGGGGAGGAGGCAAGAGCCCTTCGTCCCCCCCGTTTCCCTCTTTTCTTCTTATTCTTCCTCTTCCATTTTATATTCTCTTTCCCTTTCCCTTTCCCTTCTCTCTCTCTCTCTCTCTTATTTATATTTTTGGCGGGGGGAGGGCAAGAGCCCTTCGCCCCCGTTTCCCTCTTTCCTTCTACTTCCTCTTCTTTCTTTCCTTTTATCTTCTCTTTCCCTTTCCCTTCTCTCTCTTATTTATTTTTTGGCGGGGGGGGGGGGGAGGAGGCAAGAGCCCTTCGCCCCGTTTCCCTCTTTTCTATTTCTTTTTCCTCTTCTTTCTTTCCTTTTATATTTTCTTTCCCTCTCCCTTCCCTCTCCCTCTCTTATTCATTTTTTTTGGCGGGAGGGGGAGGCAAGGGCCCTTCGCCCCCGTTTCCCTCTTTTCTTCTTCTTCCACTTTTTTCTTTCCTTTTTATCTTCTCTTTCCCTTTCCCTTTCCCTTCTCTCTCTATCTCTTATTTATTGTTTGGCAGGGGGTGGGGAGGGAGGAGGCAAGAGCCCTTCGCCCTTCCCACGTTTCCCTCTTTCCTTCTTATTCCTATTCTTTCTTTCCTTTTATATTTTCTTTCCCTTTCCCTTCTCTCTCTCTCTCTCTTATATATTTTTGGCGGGGGTGGGGGGAAGGAGGCAAGAGCCCTTCGCCCTTCCCCCGTTTACCTCTTTCCTTCTTATTCCTCTTCTTTCTTTCCCTTTCCCTTCTCTCTCTCTCTTATTTATTTTTTTGCCGGGGGGGGGGGGGGGGGGGGTAAGAGCCTTTCGCCCTTCCCCCGTTTCCCTCTTTCCTTCTTCCTCTTCTTTCTTTCCTTTTATATTTTCTTTCCCTTTCCCTTTTCCTTCTCTCTCTCTCTCTCTCTCTCTTATTTATTTTTTTGGCGGGGGGGGGGGGGGGGGGTGGGGAGGAGGCAAGAGCCCTTCGTCCCCCCCCGTTTCCCTCTTTTCTTCTTATTCTTCTTTCTTTCCTTTTATCTTCCCTTTCCCTTTCCCTTTTTTCCTTCTCTCTGTCTCCCCCATCAACATAGTAATAACGAAAGAGACCACTCTGTAATCAAGACGGCGTAAATATTCATAATTGAATGACACACGCCCTTAAAACTAAAACAACAACAACAACCATTCCATTTTATTTAATACATTTTCGATATACTTAAATTGGCAACTATTACCTTCTGTCCCAGATCCTCATTTTAAACGACTGATGCGAAAGACTAGTCGACGCACCCTTTCGAGAAAAGACCCCCCTCTTTTCTCGAAAGGGTGTGCTAAGACGGTCCTCCGTTCTCAACGCACCCTTTCGAGAAAAGCGGGGGGCCTTTTATCGAATGGGTGCGTTGAGCACACCACACCGCGCCGCACCGCACCGCACCCTTTCGATGAAAGCCGACCCATAAAGTCCAGCAGTGTTTTTGTCAGTAAATCACTGCAAAAATATTATGAAGGTCATTTTTTATTCCTGAAACAAGTTTCGTTATTGAGAACTCGGATGTGTAGTATCTTGAACAACTGCACAATTAGCATTCCATACTTTCTGGTTGTCATTGGTTACTCGTACAAGAACAATGTATAGTGTATTGTAATATGACCTGTACAGAAGTTGAACGGAGAATACACACACGTTATCAACCATGTAACTGAAGGCTGTTGTGTCGTCCTTTCGGCTGTCTAAATAAGGACCAAAACATTACATTTGGCGACGAAGATGTGTGATTTCGTCATGAACCTGAACTTTCATGGACACAGTCCCTCGAGTCACTGCGTAAGTTACTTTGAGAACATTTCAACATGAATTTACCCCAGTTTGAGCGTTTTGAGTGCCATGAATATCTCGCGACCGTGGGTGTGAGATGGGGAAAATACGTGAAACGGCTAGAGAACTTTTTCACTGCATTTGCTGTAACAGACGATGCCCAGAAGCGAGCGTTGCTCCTGCACTATTCCGGTCCTGATGTGCAGGAAATCTTTGAAACACTTCCAGACACAGCCACATCTTACTCTGCTGCCATTAAAGCGCTAGAGAAACATTTTGTTCCGTCTGTTAATGTGGAATATGAACGTTATCTGTTTCGTCAGTGTAAACAATTGAACAATGAAACTGTTGCTCAGTATCATCTCCGTTTGCAGAAGTTAGCTTCATCATGTCAATTCTCGGACAAAACTGCGGAAATCAAATCCCAAATCGTGTTTGGGTGTACATCGCAAAATTTGAGGAGGTACGCACTTCGTGAAACTGTTACACTCGAAAAACTTCTTCATACTGCCCGCACGCTCGAGCAATCTGATCAGTATGCAGCCGAGATGGAGAGTGCTACATCTCGAGAATCAACTGTCGCTGCTACGCGTCATGACAAGCCCTCAAATCCGAACTCTGTCCAACGCCAATTTCGCACTCGTGGAAAACAGCAAGCGACCAGACAGAAAGTCACATGCAGGAATTGTGGTGGTCGGTTCCCACATCCCGCAGATAAACCCTGTCCGGCAAAAGGGGTTACGTGCCATTCTTGTGGAAAATTGAATCATTTCCAGAAGTACTGTTTATCTAGACCATTAAAGTCCAATTCTATCGCAATTCATACTGAACATACAGCAGCATGTCAATGCAGCTGTACTAGCTCTCCGCAGCCTGAGCCTCAGCCTCAGCGTGATCACCAACCTGCTCAGCATAGTAAGGAAGAGCAAGCTGAAACAAAGGACTATGTTTTCAATGTTAATTCTTCTTCAGCCAACGGACCGTTTGTTCAGATTGAGGTCAACGGGATCTCAATTTCAGCTTTAATCGATTCTGGTTCCTCAGTAACGATTGTGAGTCAGAACACGTATCGTTCGATTACACCAAGGCCTCATCTTGACGCGCCCTCCGTTCCTGTGTATGCGTATGGAAGCACAGTCCCGCTTGATGTTGTTGGAACATTCACCGCATCTGTCTCGTATAAATCGAAAACAGTGGAAACAAAGATATTTGTTGTCACGCACAGTGGTGATACACTGCTGGGTTGTAGCACTGCCACTGCACTTGGTCTCCTTCATATCACGTACAATCTTCAGCTAATGCAGTCGTATAAGGATCGTTTCCTTGGTATTGGCAAACTGAAAGATCACCAATGCCATATTCATGTTGATGGATCCGTTCCTCCTGTAGCAGTTCCCTACCGAAGGATTCCCTTCCACATGAGAAAGCGAGTGGAGCAGGAACTTGACAGATTGCAGGAACTTGATATCATAGAACCGGTACATGATACACCTACTCCGTGGGTTTCTCCGATCACTGTTGTCCCGAAGCGTAACAGTGATAACATCCGCATTTGTGTTGACATGCGTCACGTCAACAAAGCTGTGAAGCGCGAACGTCACATCACGCCAACCGTTGATGATCTTGTGTCTGCTTTGAATGGTGCCACAACATTTAGCACTTTGGATCTCAACTCGGGCTACCACCAGCTAGAGCTTGATGAAGAGTCTCGTCCGTACACAGTGTTCTCAACTCATATCGGACTTTTCGGTACAAACGACTCAATTTCGGGCTCGCATCTGCATCTGAGATCTTTCAGCACACCATTCAAGCTGTTCTTCAAGACCTACCGGGTGTCTTGAATATAAGTGATGATATTCTTGTGTTCGCGAACAACAAAGCGGACCATGACATTCGCCTCAAAGCTGTACTCGAACGCCTTCGTGAGGTGAACCTGACCTTGAACAAGGACAAATGTGTCTTTGCTGCTGACCGTGTCACATATTTTGGTCACGTTTTCTCATCCAACGGCATTAGCGCTGATCCGAGAAAGATCGAAGCCATCCGAGCGGTACCTGAACCTCGCACCGTGTCCGAAGTCCGCAGTTTCTTAGGCATGGTTAATTACTGTGCCAGGTTCATCCCTGGTCTGGCCTCGATTTCAGCACCTCTTCGCCATCTCACTAAGTCGGATAGTGAATGGGAATGGGGTCTTGCCCAAGCCGACGCCTTCGCTAAGATCAAGCAAAGAGTTTCGCAACAATGCACCATGGCATACTTCAATACGGCCAGCACCACTGAACTTATCGTTGATGCCAGTCCTCATGGTCTGGGAGCACTTCTTGTTCAGCATAACAAGGAGAACACGGTTCCTGTCGCGTTGGCAAGCAGAGCCCTCACAGACGTTGAATCTCGATATTCGCAAACAGAGCGTGAAGCCCTAGCCATCACATGGGCTATTGTCCATTTTCATGTGTATTTGTATGGTGGATCGTTTGTAGTCACAACTGACCATAAGCCGCTAGTATCGCTCTTCAACAACTGTCATGCTAAGCCACCGCTCCGTCTTGAAAGATGGATCCTGAAGTTGCAAGCGTATGACTACACCGTCCAGTATCGTCCTGGTCAGCATAACCCCGCTGACTACCTCTCGCGACATCCTCAGTTATCGGTGATGAGCGTATCCGATGATCAATCCATGGCGGAAGCTCATGTTAGTTTTGTGGCATATCATGCAGTTCCGAAGTCAGTATCAATGTCCGAAATCGCTGAAGCCACAAAACAGGACCCAGTCCTACAGCACGTCATTCGCACCATCAAGAACAACAACTGGCATGACCTTCTTGCGACCTCTACTGAAAACCAATCAGAACTCCAGAGCTTGTTCATTATTCGAGAGGAATTGACAGTGGATGACAATTCTCTTCTCCTCCGCGGACATCGCATAGTAGTCCCGCAGTCTCTTCGTAAACGCATCATTGATATTGCACATGAGGGACATCAAGGCATCACAAAGACAAAGAGTCTTATCCGTGAAAAAGTGTGGTTTCCCTCTATTGACAAGATGACAGAGAAAATTGTTCGTGATTGTATCACATGCCAGTCTAACACAATCGAGCATGTCAAAGAGCCTCTGCGCATGTCCCCTCTGCCCCAAAAAGCGTGGTCAGAACTTAGCATTGATTTCGCTGATCTCCCGTCAGGTGACCACCTGCTTGTTGTTATGGATGACTATTCTCGTTTCCCCGAGGTTGAAATTGTCTCATCTACTTCAGCTCAGCAAGTCATCCCCAAGCTAGACCGAATTTTCTCAAGTTTCGGCGTTCCTGATATCGTCCGTACGGATAATGGGCCTCCTTTCAACAGTCGTGAATTCGCTGACTTTGCCGACTACCTGGGTTTCAAGCACAGAAGGGTAACCCCAGGTGGCCCCAAGCGAACGGTGAAGTTGAAAGATTTATGAGAACACTGAAGAAAGCCTATCGCTCTGCCATCGCTCAAAACAAATCGTGGAAGCAAGAGCTCTACAGATTTCTTCGCAATTACCGCGCCACGCCGCATACCACGACTGGTGTCCCCCTGCCACACTCCTGTTTGGCAGACCTGTCCGTACTCGCCTCCCTGAGCCTATAGTTCCCGTCTCCGACATTCAAGAACGAACTTCGGATAATCAACTCCGCTCTCGCGATCGTGGCAAGAAAGCGAAAATGAAAGCGTACGCGGATAGTCACGGTACAACACGCGAGAAGGATATCGATGTAGGAGACACAGTTCTTGTCCGCCGTGATGGTATAGTGTGCAAACATCAGTCCCCGTACCTTCCACACCATACAAAGTAGTAGGAAGAAAGGTTCATGAATCACTGTACGTCATGGTAATCACTACATCACGCGAAACGCATCACGTTTCAAGCGTTACACTGGTCCTATTCCCTGTGACCAATCTGCTAACAATGATCAAATTGAAATTGACCTTAGTGATGATAATGCACAAGGACAACAACTTGTTGTGCAACCGCGACGTAATCCTAGACGCAATCGACGACAACCAGCACGGTTGCGCGATTATGTTTAGTTCACAGTCTATTCGTTACTCATAAACTAGTCAAAGACAAAGAAAACTGGAGAAATGCACAATATGACTAAATGATGAGACATTGACTCTTAATCTTGCATTTCTTAAAAAAAAACAAAAAACAAAAACAAAAACAAACTTTTGATGGCAAACTTTTTATTCAGGTTACTGTATGCATTTATGTGTATTTAAACAAATTATTGTTCTAACCTGTCACAATGGAAGTTTGCATAATGTTCCTGTGAGTTTGCATTTCTGATCAAGATTAGATCTCAAGGGTGGATTTCATATTATCTTTTATTCTTTGCTGTTAGTTTAATTATTGCATGTAACTTGATTAATGACTCAGAGTGTCGTAACTATTGGTTTGAAATTATTTTCCGTGTATAACAGATTTGCATTTACTCAGTATGCTTTGTAAACACGTATAGCTTAATTGTTAAAAAAAAAAAAAAAAACCAATCAAACAAACAAACACAAACTAGAGCCTCCAGAAATCTGGTTCAGTTTTATAAATATTGCTCTTCAATATTACGGAGTTGGAAGTAATTTATAAGGTTTTATAAAGAGCGAATTCCAATTGAATCAGTTTAATTTTCTACGTTCATGCAAAGAAAATATTTTGTACACTTGGCTATTTTTCAAAAGGGAAAGAAGAAAGGAAAATGTAAAAAGGTGTTATTTGTTGCCATTATATTGTGTTTATGAATGAATATCAGTTTTGCACAGTTTGAAGGTTTGTACATGTGTATTTGCTGATTGCTATGTTTTATAATCTATGATATTTGATATTTGAGTTCATATTGTTCGATGCTATTGCCTCATGCCTACAATGTATGACAGAACAGTCAATTGCATTTTTTATGCTTTATTATACTGAAACAGACTTGAGTGCTAAGAACAAGATTTTTATGCTAGCAAACAGTTATTGACCTCTGCAGGTCATAGGTAATTTTGATCTGTTGATATGAAAATATATCACTACATAATCAGCTTATTTCAACCATGAATACTTCCTAAAAGCCTAATTTACAACTTTTAGAGTTCACATTTTATTAGATGGTATATTGCTATATGCATAAGCTCTGCATGATCTCACAAAGTGAATTATTTCTTGTTTGAAGTGTATATATGTAATACTGGCTATCCGTAGCAAGTTTTGTCTTATGCAAGTTAGTTATTTAACCATTACATGTGTACGTGAGTTCTATACATGGCTTTGTGCAAATTAGCTGAGTTTGGTTAATGTTCAAGTTTGGTTTTATACTCTAAATGAGTTACAACTTGTTTTGATGTTTTTTCCAAAGTTTGTTCTTACATGGTTTAAAACACATTGATGAATGATTGTTACAGTTTGATGATGTCAAACAAGCCATAGAAATAACAACAGCTACACTGTGATTGACTTATCTCATTATAGAAAGGTTTTAATCCAGGTAGGGAGGATTGTAGTATCTTGAACAACTGCACAATTAGCATTCCATACTTTCTGGTTGTCATTGGTTACTCGTACAAGAACAATGTATAGTGTATTGTAATATGACCTGTACAGAAGTTGAACGGAGAATACACACACGTTATCAACCATGTAACTGAAGGCTGTTGTGTCGTCCTTTCGGCTGTCTAAATAAGGACCAAAACATTACAGGATGCAGTACATGTAAGACAAGATGGTTGATGTTTGTCTTTTTCCAAATTATGTCCTTTAGTTGCACATACTGTTTGTGTCTGTATAAAGACCATTTCTCCCTCTATCTATTCTATCTGCTAAGATGATAAAAATTGGTTAACCCTTTAACTCCTGTTTTCCTACATTATAAACGGATTTGCTCCTTCTTATTTAAAGGTAAAGACCAGTATTGGTAACGCCCCAATTTCAAAAAATGAAATGGAAGCTCTCATTACCAATCATGTGAAAGAATATGTTTGACTAATACATGATGATAAAAAATTTGCCGGGAAACCGCCTACTAATTCATATATTTGGTAAATTTATCTCTCTCATGGTCGTGTGAGAGAGATAGGGTAGTCCCATATACATCTTTCTGTGTATAGTGCTTGTAACTTTACGAAGAATGGGCCAAATTTCTTATCATTTTGATGATTCCAGAACCTTGCAGATGCTAGGTGCTAGATGATCAACCTTTTCTGATCGATTCCACAACGTTTCTTTCACAATGCAATCGCATGACCATTACTGGTCTTTACCTTTAACGGAATTTCTTACCCTATATGTTCCAAACAGAACTTTCGGATCTTCCCAAAAGTCTCTCACCATTCTACAAATAAATACTATATTCTACGGGTTTCGCTCGTTTCAGGTTGCATCGGCCGAGTTTTAGAATAAATTAGTGGAAAATCTAAATAACTGTGCTACTGTTGACAACTTTAAGGCGCATCTTAAAACATTTGTTTTCAAAAATAGTTTCCATTGTTAACGAGAGAAAGTATGTTGAGCATCTCACTCTTCTTACCAGTATGTTAATCTATCCGAGATACTTGATACTTGAGACATAGGCGCCGTTTTTCCATTGACGGCAGCGGCGTCAACAGGTTAAGTTTTTGAATTTTTAATATCATTTTTAAAGTATAAGTTCTTATTCACTGAAACGTTGATTAAAGAGTTATCTAGTATTCCCAATAATGTGAGTACAATATCAGGTCACAAGTTCAAAGGTCATTTCAGATTTGAACAATTAGACTGTTGTGGCATCATGATCAAAAACGTAACCCGAGGTTAAGTTTTGAATTTTAAAATAATTTTAAAAGTGTATATTCCTCTTCCATGAAACTTGAACATAGGGGTTGTATAGTACAGGCGCGGATCCAGGATTTCTTAGGGGAGGGGGCCCAACTTTTTTTTTTTTTGCTCCCGAAAATTTGAAAATCGCGCCGGCCGAAAAGTCGCTCAGTGGGGGGGGGGGGGGGGGGGGGGGGGGGGGGGGGGGGGGGTACAGAGCAAAATTTTTTTTTTTTTTTCTTGCTCCCGAAAATTTGAAAACCCGCCGGCCAAAAATTCGTTCAGTGGGGGGGGGGGGGGGGGGGGGGGGGGGGGGGGGGGGGGGGGGGGGGGGGGGGGGGTAGTGAGCACATTTTTTTTTTTTTTATCCTCAAAAAAATTTCGATTTGCACCCCCCCCTTGAGCGCCAGGGGGGGGGGCCCAACCCCCAAAAAGGTAAAAATCACGTGATTTTACATGATTTTTTTCTCAAGGGGGGGGGCCTCCACTACAAAGTAGCCGGAGGCATTATGTTTTTGGGTTGTCTGTCCGTCCGTATGTCCGTCCGTACGTCCCGTTCTCGTGATCGCGTTATCTTAAGAACCGATTGATTGATTCCCGCCAAACTTGGGTCATGTATGTATCTTGCAAAGCCAATGAAATGAGTAGATTTTGGGGTCACAAGGTCGAAGGTCAAAGGTCACAGGGCTCTTTATGTATCCAAAAATAGCTTGTGATCACATTATCATGAGAACCAATAGACAGATTACTATCAAACTCAAGTCATGTATGTATTTTGCAGAGCCAATGAACTGATTAGATTTTGGGGCCACCAGATCGAAGGTCAAAGGTCACATAGCTCATTATGTATGCCTATAAATAGCTTGTGCATGCATTATCTCAAGAACCGATTGATGGATTCCTGCCAAACTCATGTCATGTAGGTATCTTGCAGAGCCAATGAAATGATTCGATTTTGGGGTCACCAGGTCAAAGGTCACAGGGCTCTTTATGTATCCAAAAATAGCTTGTGATCACATTATCATGAGAACCAATAGACAGATTACTATCAAACTCAAGTCATGTATGTATTTTGCAGAGCCAATTTGAACTGATTAGATTTTGGGGCCACCAGATCGAAGGTCAAAGGTCACATAGCTCATTATGTATGCCTATAAATAGCTTGTGCATGCATTATCATTAAAACCGACAGATGGATTACAATCAAACTTGAATTTAAAAATTGTTTCTGTTTTGGTTTGTAAAATTGCTCTATGGCGGAGGCATCATTTTTGACTGCGCGCAGTCAAAGTTCCGTCTAGTTTTTCTGTACTTTGTTTCTGAAATAAAACAACACTTATAAACCAATTATTTGAAATTGATTTAATCCTTATATTGTGCTTGGCTGGATGGTGCAGAAGGTGGTGTGAAGTGAAGATCTTTCTATCAATTGCATAATTGCTAGATCAATAATAATGATAATAATTATTCTCCATTCACTTTAAAATTAGTGACATGTACACTTCACTCTGTCATAGTCTAATCCAATATAGATTTCAACTAGACAAAATCTGACTTAGGTAAAAAAAAAAAAAAAGCAATGGAAAATAAAGAGCAGGACTTTAAGAACCTTTGACTTGGGCGATTACTTGACTTCAAAGCTTTCTTTCCATCTCTCTTTTACGTCTTTCTTCTCGGTAAGGATTTCTCCATCTTTGCTTTTCACTGCCTGCATTCTGATGTTAAATTTCTTAGTGATTTGTTTAATTGTTGTGTAGACTGCCTTGGATTATGGTAGCCTGACGTGAGGTTTCCACTTTTTGCATAGATCTTGTATCCATTTATATTTGCAGCCTTTTGTTTTCCTTCGTATTTCTCTGTTAATGAAGTCTGATCCTACCTTCGCATTTAGGTCGCCCATCACGCCCATAAGAATGTCTTTTCTTGGGGCTTTCTCTATATCGTTGATTGTAGTAGGTTGTAAAATTCCTCAATTTCCTCTTTGCTGTTGGCTGTGTTTGGAGCGTAGACCTGTATTATGGTCAATGATCCTGTCTGTACTTCAAATCTTGCTGAAATAATTCTTGGTGAGATGGGGTTGTATATCCAAGAAGCGCATTTTGGGCCGTTTTGTTTAGGATCAATGCAACTCCTTCTCTATGAATTTTATCTTTCCCCGAGCATAGGATTCTGTGTCCATCATGGGTAAAGTCTCCCATGTCTGTCCAGTGGGTTTCTGCAATGCCGATGATTTCCCAGCGAAATCCTTTGAGTTGATGCAGCAAGACAGTATGACTGACAAATAAATCTCAAGTTTTAATAAGTCTCAATTTAGTGCGCACACACAAGTATAGATATAGCAAGTGCACTCACCTCTATACCAATTTACGCATAGTGCTGCGCAAGAATAGGCCCATGCATGAAGCGCTCTAATTTCTACGCGCACTACTGCGCACTGAAAAAGAGTGCAATATGACTGGAAAATATTGAACGCTTTTTAGTGCAATAGGCTCAGTAAATGAATCACACGTGACCGCGCATGACCATTCATTTGATTAGGATCTGGGAGTGAGTTGTACAGTGCGTCCCAGAAAAAACGAAACCGAGAAGTATCGATGTTGTATCATAACTTAATCACAACTAAAATTAATGAATGATACATATTTGGAAAGCTTAGAGTCTCCTCTTTCATGTGATGCTACTCAGATGATGCATATTTCACGCATGAGTGATTTAAAGCAATTTGAAGGGAGGAAACCAAAAAGACATTTGGCGGGCGGTATCTGAATTTCGAAGAAAAATGCACATTTCTAGAAAGTTCATTTCCTGCCCTTTCATATGACACCTCAATCAGGTAAAATGAACCAGGAATAACAAAGTTCTGTTTGTTTAAAGTAATGCTTGCATTTCCATTATTTCATTAAACAAAATCGTTTTCAATGGCTGCCTGCCGTAGCAACAAAGAGAGTTATCAAAAGTCTTTATGCATGGGTGATCGTCAACGAAACGGAGTGGTGAGAAAAATGATAAAAGCTGGTACGTTTTCATTTCCAATTTGACCATGCAATTAACAACCGAACAACAAGTATTTCTGGTAACAGAATGGGGACGATCTGGGAGCCTTCAACAAGTTGCTGAGGCTTTCCGGCGTCGCTTCCCTGATCGCGAGGTTCCAGCCGAATCAAGTATTTGGCGGAAAATTAGGAAATACCAAGTGGAGGGTACTAGCCTTAATCTCAACAAGGGCAGGTCGGGGAGAAGGAGGACAGTGAGATCCCCCGACAACATCCAAAACGTGCAACACATGCTGGAAGCAAACCCAAGGGTATCTGCCAGAAGGAACGGCATGGGAATTTCAAAGTTGTCATTCAAACGAATTGTCAAGAACGATATCCGGTGGTATCCCTACCGAATGACGTGCCGGCATCAACTTTTACCTGGAGACCTGCCGAGAAGACTTCGATTCTGCGAATGGCTGCTGGAGAGAGGCCCACGGTTCATCGGTAACATTGTGATAGGGGACGAGGCATCATTCTTCATGAATGGTCGGGTAAACAGCCACAACATGCGCCAGTATGCCCCTGCTCAGGAACCACCGCCGTTCCACTTTGATCGCAACATCTCACGGGAAAAGGTGTCTGTCTGGATGGGAATGTGTGGGAATGGCGCGACGGAGACGGCTACCTGCGAATCCTCAACGAAGAGATTGTTCCACAGTTAGAAGCGCTCTTCCCGGGCCAAGTTGATGGCAGCTTCATGCAGGGACATTTGGTGGATACAGGATGGAGCCCCAGCCCATCGCAGAATCATTGTCAGGAATAGGCTTGCGGAGCTCTTCAACGAAAGGGTAATCGCCACCTATCATCCTGTCGAGTGGCCTCCCAGATCGCCCGATCTCACGCCATGCGACTTCTTTCTGTGGGGCTACCTGAAGAGCAAGGTGTTCACGAGCCCACCGCGTGACCTGGGAGATCTGCGAAGGAGAATCTTTGCTGAAGTCGAGTCTCTACGACAGCAGCCCCGTGTGACCTGTGATGCCATGAGAGCCATGGCATCCCGTGCAGAGTTATGCGTAGAGAGAAACGGTGGTCATGTTGAAAAACGCTGAACTTAAGCAAGAAAGTAAATGACTTAGTCATGAACCAGATATGTTAATGAATAAACAACGAAAACAAATTGAATTGAGGTTGATTCATGTTTTTTATAATTATTATCTCTTACTAAATGATTGGTTTGCTGATTTGGCGACAATGTGTAAGGGTGACATTTCTGGTCGAATTCATGAAGAGTGTTTGTGGAAACAAGATAAGAAATAAGAGAGAGAGAGAGAGAGGGGGGATATGAGGGAGTGAGGAGTTTGTTTACGGTTCCGGGCTATAGTACAGATGGGGTGGGGTGGAGGACGGAGCGAATGAGGAAGGAGTTGATGAAGAGGGGAGGGGAAGGGAAGAGTATCAACACACACATTTTTAATCCAGACGTGAATATCACCGCATCCATTTAGTCAGGTGTAAAAGGATAAATAATAATAAAATAGTAATAATAATAATAATGATAATAATAACAATAAAGGATGAAATCAAAACTATCAATTAGCTTTCATCATTGTTTCTCACCACTCCGTTTCGTTGACGATCAGCCATGCATGAAGACTTTCGTCTACTTTCTGTGTTGTTAGGGCAGGCAGCCAGTGAAAACGTATTTGTTTGATAAAATTATGGGAATGCAAGCTTTACTTTAAACGAACAGAACTTTGTTATTCCTGGCTCATTTTTCTTGATTGAGGTGTCATATGAAAGGGCAGGAAATGAACTTTCTAGAAATGTGAATTTTTCTTCGAAATTCAGATACCGCCCGCCAAATGTCTTTTTGGTTTCCTCCCTTCAAATTGCTTTTAATCACTCATGCATGAAATATGCATCATCTGAGTAGCATCACATGAACGAGGAGACTCTAAGCTTTCCAAATATGTATCATTCATTAATTTTAGTTGTGATTAAGTTATGATACAACATCGATACTTCTCGGTTTCGTTTTTTCTGGGACGCACTGTATAATGAAGAATAATGAACACATGATAAGAAAATCATTTTGTCCCCCTTAAGCTCATAAAATATAATCTTTACTGATTGAATTGATTCAATTTCCCTCTCTCTTTCTGTCTCTTTTTTATATCTTTCTTCATCTTTCTCTCTCTCTCTTTCCTCTTTCTCTCTCTCTCTTTCTCTCTCTCTCTTTCTCTCTCTCACTCTCTCTCTTTATCCGTCCCTCTCTCTCACTCTGTCATCTGACTACCTCTCTTTTTCCCTCTTGCTGTCCTCTCATTCCCCTGCTCTTCCTCTCTATCTCATCTCTCTTTCTACTTACTACAGCATACCTGACGAGCGTGTGATGCCGTTTGGCATGAAGGTCAACTTCTGGGAGATGGGAGAGGTGCCTTGCGGGCCTTGTATCGAGATCCACTTTGATCGTATTGGAGACCGTGATGCTCGCGCCATGGTCAACATGGATGTCCCTGATGTACTGGAGATCTGGAACCTTGTATTCACGCAGTTCAACAGGTAATTCATGATGTTTACATATACTGTGTTATACCTAGAGAAACAAAGATAATAGTGTTCCCACTTGCTTGTCCTGCACTAAGTTAGAACATGCAACCATAGATCACAACAGTGTTGAAGATCTTATGCTAAATGTACATCCTATGATCTCCCATGCTGTGGGTTGTCCTGAATATTGCTTTTCTAACAAGTCCACCAAAGAATAAAGATTTTTTAATTATCAATCAACTGTTAATTTCAAAACTGAAGTATTGCTTCCAGGTGCAGTGTATTCTCTATATTTCTCAAAGGGTATTTTGTAATAGTACAAAGACATCACTTCTGAAATGTCAAAGTAGGATTAGAAGGATGTTAGTTTTATGAATGCAATAGAAACATGCAATCTTCTTTAGTTTTTGTTTTTTGTAAGAATTGATTTGAAGACTTCAAAATACCTAAATTTTTAACTTTTGTACATACATGTTCCATCTACTGAAAAGCTTGCAAGTGTCATGTGGGGGAGGGGAAATATTGAGCATGAAACTGTCACCAACACTGATCAATAATTATCCTCTATTTGTAACAGAGAATCTGATGGTACGCTGAATGTTTTACCAAAGAAATGCGTTGACACAGGCATGGGTCTGGAAAGGATTGCTTCAGTCATTCAGGGCAGGTCATCCAACTACGATACTGATCTCTTCATGCCAATCTTTGATGCCATCCACAAGGTGAGTGCTGCAGTTCTACCTGCATGAAACCAGACGCCATAAGGCAGGCGCGGATCCAGGATTTCTTAGGGGGGGGGGGGGGGGAGGCCCAAATTTGAAATTATGCGAGCCAAATATTAGTACCTAATGGTGACCAGCAGTGACTTAATGGGGGGGGGGGGGAGGGGTGGGTGCAGGGACGGGCGAGTTTTTCCCCTACCTCCTCCGCGAAGGGCGGAAGCTTCGACATTTCAATAAATTATTAAAGAAAGAAGGCGATTCGTTGTACCGTTCCCAAAGATAAGCCTCGTCTGAATTATGTTTCCCCCCCTTCCCGCGCAGAGCGCGGAAGCTCTTACGTTTCATTAAATCATTAGAGAAAGAAGACGATTTGTTTCGTCGTTATCGACTCTTAAACTTCAGTTCCCTCTCCTCCCACGCGAAGCGCGGAAGCTTTGACGTTTCATTAAATTATTAGATAAAGAAGACGATTCGTTGTACTGTTATGACTTTTAATCCTCGTCTAAATTCAGTTTCCCCCTCCCGCGTGAAGCTTTTACGTTTTATTAGATCATCAGAGAAAGAAGACGATTCGTTGTACCGTTCTCGGCTCTTAATCCTTGTCTAAATTCAGTTTCCTTCCCTCCCGCTTCGGGAAGCTTCAACGTTTCATTCAATTATTAGAGAAAGAAGACGATTCGTTGTACCGTTCTCGACTCTTAATTCTCTTAATCCTCTTCCTTTTCACTCCTCTCTTTTTTGGGGGGACCACCTCATCCCCCCCCCTGGCTACGCGCCTGCGGTCAGATGAACATATGTTGATACCTTGTCCGCCCCCGAAAGCTCAGGGGGTTAAGGTAATAATTTACGGTCAGATTAGCATTCAGGGGTCCGCCTTAGGGCCCTAGGTGGGGTCCAGGGGGCAGAGCCCCCGGAAGTTCAGGGGTTTTAGGCATTTAATTACGTTCAGATGACCATTATTTTGATAGCTAATTGTGACACTGGCAGGTCACTAATTGGCGTGGGGTTCAGGGGGCGGAGCCTCCAGAAGCTCAAGGGTTTTAGGCACTCAATTACGGTCAGATGAGCAACAAGGGGCCTGCCTTAGGGCTCTTGGTTGGGTCCAGGGGGCAGAGCCCCCGGAAGCTCAGGGGTTTTAGGCGTTTAATGACGGTCAGATGAGCATTTTTTGATACCTTATTATTTTGTGATACTGGCAGGACAATATTTGGCGTGGGGTCCAGTCCAGGGGGCAGAGCCCCCTGAAATCAGGGGTTTTAGGCATTAAATTACTGTCAGATGAGCACCTAAGGGCCCGCCTTAGGGCCCTAGGTGGAATCCAGGGGGCAGAGCCCTTGGGGTTCTAGGCATTTAATCATGGTCAGATGAGCATATTTTGATACCTCATTATAATGTGACACTGGCAGTTTACTATTTTGTCTTTCTTGCTCTCTTTCTTTCTATTTCTCTTCATCATATTTTTCAAAAAAAGTGGGGAGGGGGGGGGGGGGCTCGAGGATCCCGATCCCTGCTGTTCCGCGGGCCCTGCAGAGATGCCAACTAGTACGGATTTCCCGTAATTTCTACGGGAAATCGGCCGATTACGGGCGGTACGATTTTCATACCATAAATCCCCGATTTTGCCGATTTTGCCGATTTTCAAAATTAGCACTTCAAGGTTTAGCACGTACTTTTGACTATTGCAGCGCAGCCATCCTTGAATCCATGCATAGAAATTCCATAGGGCTTCCGATTGGACAATTTGTTATCTAGCACACCCCTTTTACAGTGCAGGTGCATACATGTGTGTCTTTGTATATTCTGACTGTGTACGTGTGTGCGCGCGTGTGTGCCCAGCAGAGTATGGTTGGCTATCGCCTTCATAACGCATGCCAAGACCGTACGCGTGGTTCTGACATAACGTACGCGTGGGTCCATCATAACGTACGCGTGGTTCTGACAGAACGTACGCATGGTCATTTTCCATTATACTTCTATGTAATTCTTAACGTACGCATGGTTTTGGCATAGCGTACGCGTGGTTCCGTCATGTCATACGGGTGGTTGTGTCATGTCATACGCGTGGGTCCCGAACAAATGTGTAACTCCAAGACGGAACCACGCGTACGTTATGACAGAACCACGCGTACGTTATGACGGAACCACGCGTACGTTATGCCAAAACCACGCGTACGTTATGACAGAACCACGCGTATGTAATTCAGCTGTGTGTATTTACTGTTTACTAGACAGTCGTACAACCAATGAGAAAGCTTGTTGTATTGTGTGGATAGAGCTGAATTTCCGCCGTTCTTTTATTTGCCGGCCGAGCTTGCTTTCCCGTTTACAAAGGTGGGGGAAGAGGGGCGTTAATGGGATATAAGGGAGAGGGATAAAATGGTATAAAAGGAGGGGTTGGGGGCGTTCATGGGATATAAAGGAGTGTACATCACGGGTTTTTATTAATTTTGAACATGGGGCAGGATCGTCTGAAGGTGATGACAAGGGGGTGGGCTTAGTGATGTAGCGGATGGTTATAGGTTAGTGTAGGGGTGGGGGTTGTTGGGGTGAGGGGGTTCAGGGGAAATAAAGGAGTATATATGATACCTATTTCGTTTTAAGGTTTTTAAAATTAATTATGAACCGCAGAAAGGATTGTTTGAGGGTGATGAGAAGAGGGAGGACATGGCCATGTATCCTGGATGATTAGAGGCTACCGGGGTGGAGGGGGGGGGGGGGGGGCTTAGAGGGGCGTTAATGAGATATAAAGGAGCGTATATTACCTACTTTGTTTTAAGGGGTTTTATTAATTATGAACAGTGGGTAGGATTGTTGGAGGGTGATGGAAAGGAGTTGGGCTTAGTGATGTGGTCTGGATGGTTAGGGGCTAGTATAGGGAGATGGGGGTTGTTGGAACAGGGGATGGGGGGGGGGGGTTCAGGGTAAATAAAGGAGTATATATTATACCTCCTTGGTCTTAAGGGTTTTATTTACTATGAACAGTGTTATAGGATTGTTTGAGGATGATGAGAAAGGGGCGGGCATAGTGAAGTAGCGGTGATGGAAAGAGGCTAGCCTGGATGGGGTTGTTGGAGGGGGGGGGGGGGGGGGTTAATGGGGAAATAAAGGAGTATATATTACCTTCGTCTCTCTTAGGGTTTTTATCCATTTTGAACAGTGGATAGGATTTTTATAGGGTAATCGGAACGGGGAGGACATAATCATATACCCTCGATGGTTTGGGGGAGGGGGGGGGGGTAGACGGAGAGGAGCGTTAATGGGATATACGGGAGTGGGATAATGGGATACTAGGTGCCGGGGAGGGGTCCTTAATGGGGATATAAAGGAGCTGGATATAAACGAATAATGGGATATAAAGGAGTGGGAGGGGCCGGGGAGGGGGAGGGTGTCGGAGAGCGGCGTTAAGTGGCTATAAAGGAGTGTATATTACCTTCGTCTTTCTCAGGGTTTTTTATTAATATTGAACAGTGGATAGGATCAGTTTAAGGTGATGGGAAGGGGGAGGGCATAGTCATGTAGCCTCGATGGCTTAGGGCTAGCGGGGGGGGGGGGGGGGGGCGGGGAGGACGTTTATGGGATATAAGGGAGTGGGATAATGGGATACTAGGTGCCGGGGAGGGTCGTTAATGGGGATATAAAGGAGCTGGATATAAACGGATAATGGGATGTAAAGGAGTGGGAGGGGGCCGAGAAGGGGCCGGGGGAGGGGGAAGGGCGTTAATGGGTTTTAAGGAGTGTATATTACTTACTTTGTTTAAAGGAGTTTTATTAATTATGGACAGTGGGTAGGATTGTTTGAGGGTGATGGAAAGGAGTTGGGCTTAGTGATGTGGCCTGGATGGTTAGGGGCTAGTTTAGGGAGGTGGGGGTTGTTTGGGGGGGGGGGGCGGTTCAGGGGGAATAAAGGAGTATATATTATACCTACCTCGTTTTAACGGGTTTTAAAGATTATGAACAGTGAATATAGGATTGTTTGAGAGTGATGAGAAGGGGGCGGGCATAATCATTAAGCCTGGATGGTTTGGGGCTAGCCGGGGGGGGAGGGAGGAGGGGCTTTAATGGGATATAAGGGAGTGGGACATAATTGGATAATAGGAGTGGTTGCAGGGGAGGGGTGTTAATGGGATATGAAGGAGCGGGATATAAACAAAGCCGGCGCTCCTAGGGGGCAGGTGGGCATAGTGCCCCCACACGTTTTCAAGTACCCCAAAAGTGCCCCTTTAACTTTGTAAGAAGTGCCTCTTTTACTTTGACAAGTGCCCCTATTAATTTGTAAAAGTGCCCCCTCCCCTTTCCACCTCTGATATGTGCCCCAGGGTCATTCCATGTCAAATCACCCAATGGTTTTAACCCGACCATTTTTTATTTTGATGAAACTTAGTGTACTTGTTGAGTGTGATCTCACAGCACCAAATCCAAAATTTTAGGTCAATCGGGTGAGGGGTTTGGGAGATATGGCCCACCAAATTTTGAGATTTTTTCAAAAATGGGGGTGGCGGGCCTACCTTTGAACCCTTGTATCTCGGGACCTAATGGGTCAATCTTCACAAAATTTGTATTGTTGGAAAGGGTATTCAATAAGGATTCCAATTCTGCCGCCATTTTGAAGATTCGTACATGTTGGGGTACTTTGACCTCTTGACCTCAGATTTGACCTTGAAATTGACCTTGTGGATCATGTAACTTTGACAACATTTTTCATGAAATGTAATCTCTGACATGTTCACTAAAACATTTAAAAGTTTCAGAGATATAATATTTTTTGTTTAGGAGCAATAAGGATTGAAAGTATTCATGCTCACAGATATTCACAATAAACCCTATTATAATGTATACAATACATGCAGTATGCACAGTACAACATACATCTTCCACATGCTTTTTTGTTTTAGGCATATCCATCCTAAATGTCAGTAGTACTTGAATAGAAATAAATGACAAGTTCATATAGGCCTAAAGGGTTAACAGGATGTATGGCTTTAGGCCTCTGAGTCGGTTCTACGATAATTACCCCCCTGGAAAATTAACCCTCAGGAAATTCCCCCCCCCCCCTG